GTGAAAGGTTGAAGGTTGGCTGCACTTTTTTCTCTATGAGTCCGACAGGAATTTCACTTAAATTTTGGTGAGCCAGCAGCTGACACCCTGGGGGTAGGTGGGGCTGAGAGCAGACACCCCCAGAAGTCAGTTCCTTTCTCGGCCACGCTCCTTCCTGGGAAGGTTTGTGTGCAGTTTGGATTCTCTAGTTTAGGTATCTTTATTTATAAGCCCCTCAAAACATTCAGGACAGCTGATGGATGGAAGCCGTGACGGGGCATTGCATCCCTCTGCCTGTGCTGATGTACACAATGTTCTTCTCCGCAGACATCGCCGAATGGAAGCTGTGCGTCTGCGTAAAGAGAACCAGATTTACAGCGCAGATGAAAAGAGAGCTCTGGCATCCTTCAACCAGGAAGAGAGGAGGAAACGAGAGAATAAGATCCTTGCAAGCTTTCGAGAGATGGTTTACAGAAAGACTAAGGGCAAAGAGGAAAAATAATTCTTTATTTGAACTGTACACCATAGATTATACCAAGCAGCAGCTAACCTGTTCCAGTCATGATTTGAAAAAAGCTGCAAGAGCTGCAGTGCCTTTCACCCAACAGGGCCAAGCCTCAGGAGTGGATTACTTGTCTCAAGGAAACAGTTACTTTTGTCAGATTTTCTTGGATGATTTGTGCACCATCTACAAGGAATCCCTGTAAAGTGAAAGGCTACAAGGCAGGGAAGGCAGGAACAGGCAGGGAAGATTAGAGGTGGCACTGTTCTGTGCTTGCTTTGAATCGGACAAGTGGGAGGACTCCATGGGAGGGCTTTGTTACCTGATGCTGATAAATGTGATTTTCCATTTATTTTGATTAATGAGAGTAGGCTGGCCATCAGGAGCAAGCTACTAGTAACAGTAGCAAAAAGGAGTTCCTAAGTTCCTGTTTAAGATCTAAGACTGCCACCTAGGTATTTTTTCGTAAGTCTTTTAGATTTTTATTTTTTTTTCTCAAAACAGTTGAGGTTTGGTTTGTGTTTCAAACTAGACTTGTAAATAGAAACGGGTTTGTAATTTAATACAGCTGGGCTTCAGTTACTTCAAAGCAAGCAGATCACAATTGGGGTATAAAGTAACAGTAATAGTAATAGGAGGGTCTGATCTTCAAAGCCCGTGGTGAATTAAGTTGCTTGCTTCTTTTTCTCCTATGTTATACATAGGTATCAGAGCAGTGGGGTGCAGTGATTGGAACCCCTGGATGTACGCAGGTGGTAACAAGGATGTATCTTTCCATTTATTTGATTTTTTTTTTTCCTCTATGGAAGGATTCTAGTTTAAAACCTTATTTTAACTCCTGTGGTATTTTAATATGGTATGTTTCAGCTGTATTACATGGCTTTCTTTAAACTCTGTACTCAGAGGCCTACTCCGGGGAGTGCTTCTGTGGTGGTTGTCCTTGATCCAACTGCACGTTTCCAAACATACCCCTACTTAGCCTTCTTTTTCTCAAATGCTTTTAAAAACAAAGTGTTTTCTAGAGGGTTTTTTTGTTCCCCTAAATCTCTGTGTTGTAGTTTTGGCAGCAGAGATGTCTTGTATATTTGTATAAAGAAAATAAAAGAGCTATAACATTTACCCTGGAGTTCTGCAGAGCTGGTGTTTGCAACAGCAAGTCCAGCCCAACTGCCTCTTCCTGTGTACACTCTGGAACCTGGTTCCATCCTGCTGTACCCACCCATGCCTGCAAGGGACTGTCATGTAAAGCCAGCTGACAGGTCAAGACATAGTTGATTTTGCACAGATTTAATGCATTTTCTGTATCGACAAAGTAGAAATGCTAATAAGGAAGAGCCTTTCCTTCTACGTCGCGTTTATTTGATTCTCTACAAAATACCAGCAGAGCGTTGGTGATGGTGAATTGGAGCTGTTCATTACAAAGTAAGTCTTTCCATGAGGATTATTTTATTTTCAATGATGTCCTTAAGCCACTTTTCTCTAAACTGACACTGTTCTGGCCTGGGGGATGGAATGAAAAGAAGGTAAATAGTAAGAATAATATTGAACCAAGTTTGGCCAGCTGAGAGCTGGCCTTTATTCACAGGGCAAGCCTATCTGCTGAAAAAAAGACCACCACTTAGACCTGTGTAAACGCTGGACAAATTCATTATGGAGAAGGCAGATGCTCATGGGGTGGCTATCCATGCTTGTGGTGGAGTGAAGCTGATGATAAGCACAGTCATTTTGTTTCGCAGAGCAAGATTTTGACAGCTTCCTCCATCTCTCTGCTATTATTGCAGACTTACTTACGTCAAGCTCCCTGTTTGTTTTTGGCATGGAAGAGCTTGCTAGAACCTCCCGAGTTGTATCAGTGATGGAAGAGTAATAACATTTACCTGTGAATCAGCCTGCTGGACTCCAGAGTGAAGAATACCTCCACAGGCAAGGTCTGCAAAAGAGGAGACACAGGGCAGAGTTCACATACAGGACCTCAAAAAGCAGATATTTAAATGAGATAAGAGGTACTATCTGCTTCTTTAGAAATAACCTGTGCATTTGTGCAACATTTCTGGTATGGATTAGAATAGTTCTGATTTAAAGCCTCTTGTGAAGGCAAAGACTCAGATGTTACAATTTAAGGCTTGTGCTAGGATATAAGATTTCGCACCAGTGGCTGTGAGCTGTTGTGCCGGTTTTGGCTGGGGTAGAGTTAATTTTCTTCACAGTAGCCAGTACAAGGCTGTGGTTTGGATTTGTGCTGGAAACAGTGTTGATGACACAGAGATGTTTTTGTTATTGTGCTCATGCAGAGTCAAGACCCTTTCTGCTCCTCACACCAGGAAACCAGCGAGGGCTGGGGGATGCACAAGATGTTGTGAGGGGACACAACTGGGACAGCTGACCCCAACTGGCCAAAGGGATATTATTCCTTGCCATATGACATCATGCTCAGCAATAAGACTAGGGGGAGGTTGGCCAGGGGGCCGCTGCTTGGAGACTGGCTGGGCATTGGTCCGTTGGTGGTGAGGAATTGTTTTCATTTGCATAATTTTCTTAGTTTTTAGTTTTCCCTTCCTGGTTATTTTTTCCTTAAAATTTCTTCTTGTTGTTGTTATTTCCTTTTTAAAGTTATCAAACTGTTTTTATCTCAACCCACAAGTTTTCTCACTTTCCAACTTCCAATTCTGTCCCCCATCCCACCGGAGGGGGAGTGAGCAAGCAGCTGTGTGGTGCTTAGTTGCCAGCTGGGGTTAAACCACAACATCTGTGGACTGCTACCTGGGTATCTGCAGCCACTCAGTAGAAAAGCTAAGATTCAGCATGACTAAGAATAGCTCCTGGAGGTAAAAAGTCTACTCAGAGCAATTTATTTCTTTTTTTCTCGAGCTGCAACATATTCTTGTACAGGTGACAAACTTCAGGCTGATCTGGAAAGGGGTTCTGACACAGCATGAAGAGAGCAGCAGGCCACCGTCCCTCTACTGACCCCTCATTCCGTAACTCCCCTCTGCTCAGCCCTGCTTACAGCTGCCCAGAGCGATTGCTGTTGCTTGGAAGGGGAAGACAGCATGAGCAGGAAAGCAGATGCAGGATCCTGCCAGATTCTGTTTGTCATGTTTCTGCCAGTCTCAACAACTTGGGAACAAAACCAGCCTCCCACTCTGCGTTCTGCTCCCCTCAGTGACTGCTAGGTTCCGTTACACCGTGTTTAAATCTCTTGCCATTGCTGTGGCAGTGCCCAGGTCTCCTCAGCGTGTCTCGTGAGAGCTGCCGGCTCCTGGACGGTCTGTCCGCTGCCCTGCTGTCTCCCTGCCTCAGAAAACCCCTGTGTACTCTTGTCCTGTGAAGGATTAGTGCATGCCATTTCTGACTACTTACAGCAGGTTTGGTTTTGGAGATCTCTATAACAAAGTAGACGCTTGCTGTTGCTCGTGGGATGGGTTTTCTGCGTGTTGGGACGCTCCAGCAAACTCTGTAATGGTACCTCTTGCTGTACTTCAGTTCTTCTTCCCGGAGAAATTCTGACCAGTGAAGCCAGCTTCTGTGAACATCCCATGTCTGCCGAACAAACACATCGCACTGATTCCCTCTGTCTAGTAGAGGTGACTTGAAGGAGGTGCTAAAAAGGAACTGAGGTGCTCTCCTTTAATTTTTCACACTTTCTAAGGAAGGCATGACCCTCCTGAGTGGATTGAATTGTCACTCACAGAAATGTGTTCTTCAATCTGCTGCAGTCCCTTCTCCACTGTGAAGTTGTTGCCTGTGACCCACTGGATACTTTTGATGACACTCTTGCTTTCTAAAATAGAGAAAATGCTGACAAATCCTTCTGGGAAGACCCTGACACATACAAATAGAGCAAGCACACTACCTTTCTCTTCTTTCTCCAGCTCTGGAAGGTATTCCTCTGTATCCAGGAGAAGTTGAGCTTTTTCCTCGCTGGCAGCGTTTTCCTCTCCCTTGTCCATTGTCTTCACCTTTACAAAGAGAAACACACAAATGCACTGAGAGAGAGTTAGTTTTCAGAGCTGCGGGACCTATGTGAGAAACTTCAGGCTGATCTGGAAAAGGGTTCTGAGACTGCATGAAGAGCAGCCGGACAGTCTCCCTCTACTGACCCCTCATTCCGTAACTCCCCTCTACTCAGCCCTACTTACAGCCGCCCAGAGCGATTGCTGTTGCTTCTGAACTGCCCTTGCCTTGGTTGGGCTGAGGGCGCAGGTGGGTGGCAGCCCAGAGGAGTCTGGTTCCGGAGAGGGGTGGCCGGTGCCCAGGGAGCTGTGCCCAGGCCCTGGCCCAGCCCTCTGTCCTTTCTTCCCTGGGGGACAAGACGCAGCGCAGCGAGGGGCTCCCCTGGACGTGGTACCCAGCGACCCAGGGAGTGTTTGCTCCATGTTGCCATGGCAAGGTGGCTGCCAGCCAATGGGAGCGCTGGGCTCCCGGCATCCCCATCGCTGTTTGGGGGGGCCCTATGGATGGGGATGTCAGGGCTGCTTCGGATTGGAGACCCTGGGGAAATTCCTCCCCGGCAGTCGTAGTCTCCCGGAACAGGAAGATGGGATAAGCAGGACAGTGGATGTGGAATCCTGCCAGATTCTCTGTTTGTCAAGTTTCTGCCCGTCTCAACAACTTGGGAACTAAACCAGCCTCCGGTCTGTGCTGTGCCAAACACAGCCTCAGCCTGGCCCGTGGCACAGAGATGCTGTAGGCTCTGCACACCAGCGCTTGGGACACAGAGTCCTTCAGAGGGCAAGGACCATGGACACTACATGAGAGAGTCCAGAGATATGTTAGCAGAGCGCAGAGTGCCGAATTCCCAGCAACCACTCTTCCAGAGTGACAGGGAGCTGTTACAAGGATTCAGCTACTAGATGAATAAATGAGCAATGAGTAGGTCCTACTCCTTGTGGTGTGATAGAGATGCTTACTGCCTGAAGGTGAAAGGAGGCAGTGAGAGTGACAGGTAGCTGGGGCAGGTTTGTACTGGATGGGAGAATGAATATTGACAGGTAATACCACAGAGCGAGAGTGAGCTGTGAAACTTTCCTTTGCTCATGGGTACACTTTGTTCTGTGTTTCTTACGGGAGTTCTCGTCATTTGGTTTCATCCCCTCAGTAACAAAATTAGGAAGAACAACTGCAGCATAGGTGTCTGCTTTGAAAGACAGATGGCAGAAAAGGAATCCAAGGACCCTCATGTAGGACTTGTGCCAAGACACGGAGGAGCATCTGAGTGGGAAGCGGTCAACAGTTTGGAAAATGGCTTAGCAGCTGATGGGAAGGTCTTGTGCTGGAACCACTGGGGAGGCAAGACTTGGAATACAGACCCCTGAAGAGCTTTGTGTGTGTGACAGATGAGGCCCACTCATTTATTGTGTCTTGTGCAACAAAGGAAGCGTCTTCCAGCTGCTGCTCAGGACATGCTGTAAAGTGAGCACAGCCTGGGGCATGGTGTGTAAAACAGAAAAGACCTCTTCTGAGCCCAAAAATTCTCCATGGAGACACACTCACCCAGGCAGGACACGTCTCACGAGAGCTGTTCAAGGCCCCTTGGTATCCAGAAGGATTACAGCAATCCTGCCTGAAGCAGCCCTGGTTTGCTTTTCAGCAATCTGTAGTTTGGGAGAGATGCTCGAGGCTAGTGTAAGCCCTGGAAACCTGTCCCCTCCTCTGCTTCCTGTCCTGATCTCCACATCTTTTACCTCTCTTATTTCTTGTCCTCCTGATCTTCTCGCCCTGCTAGTTCTTCTGTCTCTCCAGCCAGCGCCGTAGCTGACTAGCTGGTGGTAAGTGCTTTGGGCTGGTATTTCATTGATTCCCAAGCTCTTTTCAGCCCTTCAGAAAACTGGGAGGGACCCCACGCTGGAGCAGAGGATGAGTGTGAGAAGTCCTCCTCCTGAGGAGGAATGAGCAGCAGAGACAACGTATGAAGAACTGATTGCAACCCCCATTCCCCATCCCTCTGCACCACTCAGCAGGGAGGAGATAGATAAACCAGAGTGAAGTTGAGCCTGGGAAGAAGGGAGGAGTGTTTTAAGATTTGGTTTTATTTCTCATTACCCTACTCTGATTCATAAAAAATTAAACTAATTTCCCTGAGTTGAGTCTGTTTTGCCCATGATGGTAATTGGAGGGTGATCTCTCCCTGTCCTTATCTCCACCCATGAGCCTTTTGTTATATTTTCTCCCCCCTGTCCGGCTGAGGGGAGTGACAGAGCAGCTTGGGTGAGCACCTGGCATCCAGCCAGGGTCAACCCACCACAGCAACATAGATACAAGGGTTGAATATGTGAATATCTTTATTGAAGAGTTGAATCATTTTATATAGATATGTGGATTCTTCAAAGTGCCGCCACCTTAGTCTATGTTCTCCAGGCCCTGAAAAACAAAAAGTTACAGCTGTAGCTGCACCATTCTCGTTGCTAACCTGCAAGAGGGCATAACTGACAATGCAGTTTTTCAAACCATGCTTTGTAAGTACCCAAGTCCTAACTAAAAAAAACTTAAACCGCACATCCCCACAGACGAGTGAGCTCCCACAGCCTCAAGAGTGGCCGATGGCCACCTCAGAGGCCGTGGGAGACCTGAGCTCAGGGCCCCTGCTCCCCTCCCGGCGGTACCCGCCCGATGCCCCCAACACCTGCCTTGGAGCCGTAGTACTTGTTGGCACCCGACACCCGCCGGGCTCGTTCCACCAGGGT